TCGAACCCAACTCAACTACCTCCCTACTTCAGGATTCCTCCCTCTCTCACTCACTGACATTCTGTCTCTCCCTAGCTCTCTCCATGTCGGATTCCTAGAGCTCTGACAGGCTTCCTAAAAAGTTCAGAGTTCAGATTCTGTCTCACCCAGCAGATCCTCATTCTCCTTATTTTCTTAATTGGTCCGTAACTTCCAGACCACCTGGGGCCAGCTGTAGGGATATTTCCAGGAGGACCTTGGATTGTGGGGTTTGGATTGTTTCTGACCGATCTGTGTTGTGAATTCTATGGAGGCACACAGAGGACTGTCGGTCTTCAGTCCAGACAGGGGGAGAATCCGGATCCACTGAAGGATGAAACTCGAAGAAGACAATCACTCCCTCTGGTCTCTGGCTGCGAGATGACATGCGTGCACAGGAGAGGAAGTGAGGGAGAGGTCGGGAGAGCAAGGAGAGAGAGGGGGATTTTTTTATGAAGGCGTGACTTGGACTTTTAAAAGAGCGAGTGAATGGTTGATCTTTTTATTCTCGTTTTTGTCGTTTTCCCAATTTTGTGTCTCAAGGACTTTGTAATAATATATTGTAATGTTGCTAATAATGAAAATCAGACAAGTGTACTATTGTGTATATTTGTGGGACAATGACATGGCAGCAGAAGGGGTGAAAAGGGCCTTGAGGGACACTGTCTCTGCCACAGTGCGTCAGCCTGTGTTGTTTCAGTTGCAGTATATATATTTGCTTATATACTGTACATCTGTTACAATCTGCTCTGGCCATTCCTGTGTGGGTCACATGACTGCCACCAGCCCCCTGCACAAACACACCACCTCTTGCTTCCTCGCTGTCCTGCTCGGCACCAGGCCACACGCAGACGTGGACTCTACGTGGACGCCCGGTCTGATGGACGCAGACCTGCAGGCACGTGCGTGTGGACGCACTGCGGTGTGAGAACCGGCCAAGGTGTTGTAGGAGAAACGGACACTGAGACCGACCGATACCTGCACTCCTAGTTCCTGCGGCGTGGAAAGGACATTGTGTGGTGGACATTTGGAGAGGCAAGATGGAACCCCACAGGCACTGCAGATCAGCCTGTCAGCCTAACCCCAGAGGTACGCCATAATTTCTTCTCAGCCCCTCTCCTCCTGCTTGTTGCTTTCCTTCGTATACGGAGTTGAAGGCAAAATTAAAAATGTCCTCATGCGTGACCAATCATTCAAGCTCATAAACCCTGAATCGGATCAGCTTTTTGTGCCTTGGGAATCGTCGCTCTTTCGCGGGGAAATTGGAATGTGTCCTTGCGGCATGACCTTGGCTCCTGTATTAACGGCCGACCCCCGACTCCTGCTAAAGACGGCGCTCTTTCTGTTGTTTTTTTGTAGGGGCTCGACTCTGATGAGGGCTGTAGGGCATTGCTGCCCCCTGCTGGAGGGGAGAGACATTGAGGGGGAACTATAAAGAATGGGACAGTGACCACTTGGAGACCCCCGTCTGGAAAGCAGACCAAAGAGGAGGCACGAGATTGTGGTGGGAGGAAACCAGACCTGGAAGACTGAGACCCAGCGATCCAGTATTTATTGGAGATGGGCGAGAGAGTAGAGGCACAGGTCATTCCTGGCTGGACTGTACCAAAAAAAAAACTGCTTGTTTTACTTCTTTTTCTGGCTTTTAATTGAAACTTGTGTAAATGTTTAAATCCGTCCCTGCAAAACCAAAAGGCATACACACAGAAACACTTCACAGCAAGCTTGTTAATAGCATGGCGTGTTTACATCACTTTTTATGTACATATAATATACGTGTGTATATGTGTATCTGTAAACAGACTCTAAACACAGTGCTGTTCTAACCTTGGACTTCAGAGCAATGCCTGTCCCCTCTCACTGGTTTCTGTCTTTTATTTTATTGTTCTTGTTGATGATATTGGTTTCTTATTTTTTACAGGTGTACATTGTAACTTATTTTGCCTGTACAAAATGTTCAATATTTATTATCACTGTACATAGTTACTTATTTTTATATATTCAAATAAAGACTGAGAATCGCCTGGCCCTGTCTACACGCGTGTGTGTGCTCGGCCGATTCGACTGCGAGTCCTCTTCCGTCGCTCCGGCAGGTGATCGGGTGTTCTGTGAGGTGATTGATTAGGTGTGTTATTTTAACTGGCCGAGGCCTTGATAACAAGCAACTCACATTTGGATCCCATTTGTATAGCAACTGAAGCAATCTGAGTGAAGTACCTTGCTCTCGGCTATATTGCATCTGAGATCTGAACCTACAGTACAACCTTCCAGGGGGCCGTTCTGAGTGAGCCACATCAGGCATGATCTCCTTGTTTTCTGGTCCTCATTGTGTTCAGCTCTGACGCAGGCAGGTAATCTTCATATCCGTGCCCTGGTGGAATATTGGGACGGCGTTAATCGTGGCGTCTGGGGTGTTCGGCAGATGAGTGGTCTCATGACTCTCTCTCCCCTTGGATGGAACGCTGGTCCATTGCAGGGGGGTCCCCAGTCATACAGCTGTGTGGACTGGTGCAACTCGGACAGTCTGCCTCACCAAGGCACAACAGCAGCCTAGTGAGATCAATTAAAGAACTGTTCGTGCCATCGATCCTCCCCCCCCGCAGACGATTTGAATGTGGGAAGTGGTTCACTGAGCCAGCCAGACAGGTCTTAACATCTGCAGCAGTGATTAACAGTGATCCTGCCCTCCTCTGAAGACATGGCAGTGCGCCCAATTTGTCAGAAGGTTTTTTTTTTTTCCTCCTCCTCCAGATTAGTTGGTCTTGTGAGACAAGTGCAGAGCCTTTTGACAAATCATTCAGCATGTACCAGGTTTTATCTTACTGAGGGTAGGAAAAAAAAATAAATGACGAAAACAGCTGGTCAAGTAACTTTCCAGCTGTGTAATTAGATTCTCAGCCCAATTAATGCAGATTTACTTGAGCTGCCCCTGGAAGGCAGTGTACAAGCACAGTAACACAGATGATTCAGATAATGGGCAAGGAGTACACTGCTGTAGAGTACTACAGTATTACTGTTCAGTAAAGCACACAGCAGTGATGTACAATCTATATATAATACAATGCTATAGTAGTATAGGCCAGTACAGTACTTTACTACACAGTGTATTGCAGCATTCTGAAGTATGATATGTAGTATAGTGTGTATATATATATAGGTGCAAACAGAGCACAGTGACATGAAATCCGTTCTATTCGACGGTCCAGGCTGGTAGAGTTATGTGCAGTGGGGTGCAGCAGAGCCAGCCTGAACGAGCTGCAGTTCAACAGAGACCCAGTCGCACTCTTATGCTCTTCAATCTGCCTGGTCCTGCTCCAGACAGCGCTGCCTTACTCACAGGGTGAACAGCTGCCTCACCGCTTGCCCTGCCCCCCACATCCTCTCTCCTGCGCGAGCGAGGGATTACATCAGAGCAGGCTGAGACAGAGATTCGTATGACTTTCCGATAATACCCTGTTCATATGGCAAGAGCTGTACAGAGAAGGATCCATCCTGCCAGGCTGTTTTGTATTGTATACTGACGCAGCCACTTCCCTTCTTAGTTTTCACTTAACACTGCTGCCTCACAGCACTGGGACGCTGGGTTCACTTGCTGGGGTACTGTCTGGGTGGAGTTTGCATGTTCTCCATGTATTTGTGCAGGCTTGCTCCCGTTTCTTCCACAGTTCATAGACATGCTGGTGGTGTAATTAGCTTCTGGGAAAACTGGCCCTGGTGTGAGTATTGTAGTTGTTTGGCTGTGTGTCTTCCCTGCGAGAGACTGGTATCCTGTCCTGGGTGCTTGTTGCTTTCGGGGATAGGCCCCCCCAGTATTGGAGAGAGCAGTTAGAAAATTGATGGATTTCTTTGTTTTAAGAAGTTCAATCTGAAGCATGTCAAGGCGGAAATGAATTACAGCAGTGTTCAACCCCTTTCCTGTATATGACACCCATTTCACACAGAAACAGCAACACCCAAGTTGTCCATTCCTGACTCACCTGTGCCGATCAGATTCCTGAAATGATCCACTGGCAGGTGTGTGCAGCTGCCTGATTTCAGGGTGACCTACAGCATGAGAGGGGTGGGCAGTTCTCATCCTCGTTTACTTGTGGTTTTCACCCCATCTTAGCTGTTAATTTATTTTCTTAGCCTGGAAATGAAAGCAGCCGTGGTTTTTTTTTCAGTTCATGATCTGGTGCTCAGTGAGCCGTATCCAGGGGCAGGAGTGCTCTACCTCCGACCTAGAAGAGCTGCTGGACCGTGGCTCCCTGGGACCAGGGCTGGACACCCCTGTCCTCCTCAGCCCCCCGCCACCTGTCTCTCAGCACGGACCAGATGGCCATTCGTGGAACCTCACTGCCAGGGTATTTAGGGCAGAAAATATGAGACATGATGGTCATGCCAAGAGGTCTGGCAATTGGAAACAAATCTGTCCTAGTGGGTTATGGGAGGCAGATTTCCTGGGATTCTTCAAAGGAAAGGCGGGATTAACCGGGTAATTAGAAATCCACTGTGCACGCCGGACAATACGGGCACACATGATCAAACACCCAGGAACCGAGACCGAACCTAGTTCACACACTCCCCCCTAATGCTCAGCTATCAACTGCTCTCTCTCCTCTCACTCACAGAATCCGGTCTTCCTCAAATCACCCAGAGAACCCTCTCTTGAGGCCCCTGATCTCCCTCGTTCTCCCCTCTCCTTTCCTTGTTCTTCCTCACCAGCTTTCTCCCCTCTCTCCCTTGCGCACGCAGCCAAAACCTTGGAATCGCCCCCCCCCCGTGCTCCCGAATGTGGACCGGCTCCAAGCGGTCTGTCAACAGGATCTGCCCTTCACCACAGCGAGGGTGAATAGCCATGAGCTCACGGCTCTGCAATAGAGACGCCACGCAAAACACAATGGGCACTGAACTCTGCCCCTGCGCTGCCCAGGGCGTAATGACCGGTAATTAAGAGTGAGGTAATGTTCACATCTGTCGTGCAGACCCACGCCGTGCCCACAGACTGACCGCTTGTGTCTTTTCTCTCTTTGTTCTCCAGCAGTGAACCCCCAAACCACAGTGTGCTGGGGGGGGGTAAGGGGGAACCCTAAATAAGCCTGGCCTCCTGCAGACAAACATGTCAGCCACACCCCACTGTCACTCAGGACCTGTCGGGAGCGGAACTAACGCAGCCACAGCCCTTCCAGCTCAATAACACGGCGCGGTGTGCGCTGGGCACTCACCGTGTAGAAAACACCGCTCCACTAGCCTGCGCGGCTCCGGATGAGTCCCGTGCGCTCGTAATAGAAAAGGGCTGTACTGCGTGTTTCCTGGCCTCTCCCAGCCAGGCCTCGGCCGCGGGTTCGGAGGGCCCGTGTGATAATGGTCGCGGGTGTCCCGATACCGGCGGGTTCCCACCTCGGGTGCCCGAGCAAACTTCGCGGGTGTTGGCACGCTTCCACACCGGCACGTAAACGTCTTTTCTGGGAGGAGCTCCGGTGATTCCCAGACGAGGACCTATGAAATTGACCGTTTAGGTTTTAAAAAACGTCAGTTTTTTCCCCCCACTAGTGAAACTGGGGTCCCAGCAGAGGCAGTGAACTCTCCATCCTTAACAGCCCACCTGTGGGGAGTTCGGTTCCCTCTGTTCAGCTGTTCAGTCCTTAATTTCACCTTAGTTCTTCCTGGACACGAAATTCTTAGGGCATATGAAGGAGGGAAACACTAGTGACTAACGAAAAACGAGCTGAAACAACATGCTTGCAATCGTCTCTAGGTGCTACAAATCAATAATCAGACGCTATCTAGCGGCTCTTCTAGAAACTAAAAGTGTCGAAGTGATGGTTTCTCGACTTGCTCCATCAATCACGTGGTTTAACGTTGGAATAGTTCAAAGTGCATCATGGCAATCGACGTGATTCAATTAGCGTTTACCTCTCTTTTTGCACATTTCGGAGTTCAAGTGCCTAGGGCCTACGAACACCAAAATCCGACCCTGAACTTAATTCACAATGTCCGAGTACAGGACACGAAATCCACCTCCTTCAAACTAGACCGAAGACGGACTGTCCAGTCCACGTCCTGGAGGTCCGATATATCACCAGGCGGTAGTTTCACGCCAGCACAGCTCTTAACACGTTAAACCAGCTGGTTACCGGATTAACCGAACCGAACCGGGTTCTCCCAACTCGTACAGGCGCTCCTGCATTCAGGAAACCCCAGAGCCTGCGGGGACACCTCCCGTCCGGGACCTGACCCGGACTGGACAGCACTGTGCAAGTGATTTTATTTCTATAACGTATATATATGAAACCATCAGTATTGATCGGATGAGTAGAATGGCGGCTACATGACGTTGAACTATCATTCAATACTGGTTCGAAAATCTTTTAACATTAGAATATCCCAGTATGCTTGGAATAAAACATTCATGATACGTTCATAAATGTTTTATTTATAAACGTGTACTCAACGATAGTATTTTCTGTTTTTTTTTTTAAGTAGAAAACACGTCGAGCCAAAACCGCAGCAGCTGGTGGCGTGAGGTACAATTTATTTTACATCGTAGTAGTGCCTTCTTGCGGTGCAATGGGAGAACTACAGCCATGGCGAATCTTGTAAAAAACATTACTCAAACCAAAATACAGATTTGTCTACATGAATGACACTTTTTATTCGTTTTTTTATCATTCAGTTAACGTCAAGAAAAGTGTACAGTTGCCGCAGAAAGTAACGCCCTGGTAACGTAATGCGTTCAATGGGCTAAAAACCCTGATTTGTAACTTACTGCACGCTCTTATGTTCCGTCAACAGAGAGAGAAAGGGGTCTGGTTTCCGAAGGTGTTTTATCTAACTCTGTGTTAGGGGGAAAAAAAAACTTTTATTAAACTCCAGATCAAGAAAAAACAGTCCCTACGGTCTGCAGGATTAGTGTACAGCTTCTGTACAGCCTCTCCTCTCAGTATTTACAGCATAAGGCGCTGCTCACCAGCTCATTTACAAGCCACGCATTATACAGGCTGACACTGCTGTTAGGGTTATGTGGGCACCTGCTGGTTAACTACATTTGCTCCATTACCTACAGATTTATCTTCTCGTGAGTTTCTGGGGCCTGTGAAAATGAGAGATGGCTTCTGCTGTGTTATCATCCCGTCCCTCCCCAGCAGTGAGATACCCCCCCCCCCAAAAAAAAAAAACTGTGGGGAGCAGGAGCAGGCCAAGTACTGGCCTCGTTTCCCCAAACAGCTTCTGTAACTGAGGTGGCCCATCGAGCTTGAACTTATGTCTCTAACCCTGACACAGAGACCCATCGAGACTCAAGCCACATCTGGAGTCACCCCCCCGCCCCCACACACAGATCTATCGCTGGGGGACAGACGGGGCACTAGGAGTGCCCTTGTTGGGGAGCCCTACTGGATTAATGGGTAGAGGTACTCTCTCCGCGATCCAGACCTCATACGTCCCGGGAGGCCGGGTCTGGGATTGCTCAGAGGAGGGATTCGTCAGCCAGGAGGCCGTCTCGGCTCCTACTGAAACAGACAGCTGCCGCGGGCTAGCGGCGGTGTGAGAGAGGGCGGAGCCGCTCACTTGCACGGAGCCGATTGGCTGTCGGGTTGGGCGGAGTCCGGAGGGCCCGTCTGCACCTTCTCGTTTCCCCCCCCGGGGGTCAACGCTCTGGGACGAGAGGGGGTGGGCATCAAATGAGAAAAGCCGACAATTCTATTCTTTCAAAGACGAGACTAGGGTGCTGCGCATCGGGGCTTGGGGACAGCGGGACTCCCCGTTGCCAGTCCTGGAGGAGAAACGGTCCAGCAGGTTCTGGAAGGCTCTCAGAACCACGACCAGCCCAAGCCCTCAGGAAGAGGGCTGAGTGTTCGCTCTCCTGCACTGAGGCTAAAGATCCCACTGAAACACTCTGCTGAACCGTTGCCCTTGAGGAGTGTACAGATCAGTGGCCAGACGCTATCGGCCAACGGTCAGAGCAGCTACCACTGGAAGGGAAAGGAGGAGACCTTGGTGTGGAGCAAGGCACTGTCCGCTGCTGGTGTCCAGGATACTTGAATCAGTAGCGTTCAGGTATCCAGCACTACTGTGACAACTTCAACTGTCCCCTGCATACCAGCTCAGGATCAGCTAAAACAGGGGCACGGTCTGGGCATCTGCAAAGGGTGACACAGTTACTGTTCGCCTTACGTCAATAGAGCCTGTATGAAATCTGATTAGGTTTTGAATTTATGGTGGAACCTCATTTTTGCCTTTCATAGCATGTAGCATTGGGGGGTTGTCCTAATCTGTCTGCACTGTGGTTTTTCTGTCATACAGATCATTACACTGTACCTGAACTACACAAAGCACTCCTGAGAAGCAGCTTCAGTGAGAGGGTGACAGGGGTGTCCAGTCTTGGTCCTGGAGGGCTGGTGTGTATATGGGATTTCCAGTCTCTTAAAGCAGCAGCAACCTGTATAGCTGGGAGAAGCTGGCAAACTGGTCCAGTTGAGCCAGTAATGGGCTGATTCAGGACTTTAAGAGCCAGAGTGGAATGAAGTCCTGCAGACACACCAGTTGTCCAGCTCCAGGACCAGGACTGGACTGCTCCACTCTGTGATGTTCCACAGCATTCCCATGATCCCATGCTGCAGAATGGAGGCCTGTTAAAACAACAGGCAGCCACAGCGAAAGCAAAGCTACAGCATAAATACAACATTCTAGTGAGAGATTCGCCACAGTGAGAGTTCCCAAGGATAACAGCGTGGATTGCGGAAGTGGTGGTGCCCCCTCACGGACGGCGAGTGGTCAGTGCTCCATGGACAGTTTGAGTTGGGTCAGGTGGTCTCCGGGCGCGGAGAGAGCCTACACTGCCGTCTTGGCGTACAGCTGGCGGATCTGCTCCTGGAAGGCGCGGCGGATGTCGACGCGGCGAGTCTTCAGCGTGGGCGTCAGGAGACCATTAGACACGCTGAACATCTCCGGGTGCAGGTACAGGTCCTTCACCTGAGAGACAGGGAGGAAGAGGAGTGAGAGAAACAAAGGGTGGAGGAAGGAGGGGGGAGGAGGAGGAGGAGGAGGAGAGAGACAGGGTCCAGGGAGGAGGAGGAGGAGAGAGACAGGGTCCAGGGAGGAGGAGGAGGAGGAAGAGCAGGAAGGCCAGAGAGAAAAGGCAGTCACTGTATCCCCCAGGAGAAGGGACGAGCAGTGAGAGAGAAGCCTGTGAGACATAGTGAGAATAGGACAGGACTCCCACCAGAGAGGGGCCTCGGAGACAGACCCTGTGCCACACACCTGCTCGAACGACTTCAGACCGGCCTCCTTCCCAATCACCGTCATGTCCTCCAGCACAGCCTTCTTCACATCCTGAGGGGCAACAACGAGACACAGAGTCACCCAGTTAGGGTGTGGAGTACCCCGAGGGGACACGAGCACTGAGGGGGGGGGCAGGGGGGCAATCCGAAAGACACACAGGGGTGCATTCTCGAGAACTGCTCTAACAGAAAGAAATTTGGTGGAGTTATTTTTGTTTTATTTATTTGCTACTTATGCGAGTTCAAAACCCTCTGACCACATGGTCAGGTGCATTATGACATCTTCAAAAGGTATTGAATTCACCCAATTTTGTCTTTTGAGATGTGAAACCCCCATTCTGTGTGTTATTGTTTAGCTATACTTATATACAACAAAAAAAGTTAAAAAGACACACATCCACACGTGGCCTGAAGTGATATTGTGTGCTGTGCAGGGAGCTAGACGTTTGTTTACCGGATTCCTGCAGAGCTCCTCGTAAGATCCCACAATGCCCCTCTCTTTAGCCCAGTCAGTGAACACTTCCGGGTCAGGCACCACAATGCCAACCAGGTGAGACTGGGGACAGGAAGCACAGAGAAGGAACCGTGATTGATATGCTTTAGAAGTCATATTACTGTATAGGAGACTTTTACTATACTAAATCCTCATTTAATGTTATTTTATGTTGTTCCTTTGATTTTTTTATCTGTATTACTGCTTCATCTTATGCCATGTTTTGCCAGATTTCTCAGGCTCTATGGTTTAAGGTGTTTGTATTAAGAGGAGAACTTTGGCTGGTAATGGAAGAGATTTACATATTGGAAACTCTCCTCAGTTGTTTGCTCTGCTGTTCACCCTGCAAAACCCATTTAAAAAGATTTGAACCAGAAAGGTGTTCCAATTTTAGCATTAGCATGGGTGCCAGTAATTGTACTGATAGTACTGGTGCCAGCATGAGCTTTAGTTGCCTCAGTCTTACTCCTGACAATAACAGTACCAGTAATGATGTTATCATCAACACTAAGAGTTTCAGTATCAACATTCATAGTGGCCGATCTAACAGTAGTATCATCACAGTCAGAGTGAGTCTGTGTGCAGGCTGTAGTGTTTGAACTAGTGCCAGCACAGGCTATGTCATTCCTTACCACTGAAATCCCAAGTCCAGTTAATCCTCCAGTAAGTAATTGAGCCACCAAGGGACAATTCATAAGATAAAGTATGGATTTGCTCCTAGACCAGTTGATGGCCATGTAGGAAGAGCCAAGATGAATGTGCAAGTTGTCTGTAAGCATGCCTGTGTGCCCAGGAGCGGATCACCGTTGGTGAACGCGAGGGTGCCTGTGAGCGGATCTCCGTTGGTGAACATGAGTGCCCGCGAGCGGATCCCCGTCGGTGAACATGAGCATGTGCTCACATGTGTCCAGGATCCGTTAGTGAAAGCGAGTGTTCATGAGCATATCTGTGTCCCTGTTAGAGAAAATGAGTAAGTGCGTTGTTGTTGTGTATGTGTGTGAGCGTGACAGTGCACGCTCGAGCTGTATACCTGTAGGCTGTCCCCGTGCACAAACACCTGCAGCACAGGGGCGCTGCGAATGTAGACGTTCTCGATCTTCTCGGGCGCGATGTACTCTCCCTGGGAAAGCTTGAAAATGTGCTTCTTCCTGTCAATGATCTGCAGGGCACCGTTCTGAGAGAGGGAGAATTTAACCCATGAGACTGTCCACGTTTCACTCAGGATTCCTCCTGTGGTCATTACCTGTGATGTACGCTAGGCACTGCTGTGTCTGTGATGAGATAAAACACCAGGTCTGGAGTTGAGAGTTACTGGGAAAGTGTGTTTAATGAGTCTGTCAGTAAGTAAATCATTCTGAATGTCTCTCAGTCCTTCAGTGAGTCAGTCTGTTCTTCCTTCTGTCAGTGAGTTGGTCGGTGGGTCACTCTCTTGGCCAGTCTGTCCGTCAGTCTGCTGGTCTATCATTGGGTCAGCCTGTTGGTCAGTCTGTCCTTCACTGGGTCAGTCTGCTGGTCCATCACTGGATTCGTCGGTGGGTCGGTCAGTGGGTCAGTCTGTCTTTCAGTGGATCAGTCTGTAGATAAGTCTGTTCTAGGTTTTGAGTTTTAGGCAAGTCTGTCCTTCACTCAGTCATTCAGCCTGGTGGGTCTGTCAGTGGGTCAGTCTGTCCATCAGTCATTCAGCCTGGTGGGTCTTGTCAGTGGGTCAGCCTGTCCACCAGTCATTCAGCCTGGTGGGTCAGTCTGTCC